CAAAGAGATCCCTGCAAACCCCCTCCAATCAGCTACTTGATCCCCCCACCATCAGTGGGCCAAGAGGTCTGGAAGCTCTGGAAGCAGCCACCTGGGGCTGGGGCCAGATTGTGCTCCTCTCTCACCCAGGTCCAAAAGATCTTTCCTACTGACCTTCCAAGTTGTCTTTGGCATTTATGTGTTAAGAAGTCTGACAACCACCACAGCTGCCAGTGATTCAGTCCCCTGAGGCCCACTCTAGTCCCATCTTTGCCTGGGTGGCCCACACTGAACTGTGCTCCTCTCCCACCCTGGCACAACAGACCTTTCCCATCAACTATCCAAGTGGTCTTGGGCTGGAAATTTGTTTTACTCTGTCTTTTTGTAGATTCTGCTGCTCTAGAATTTGTTTAAAGTCATTATTTGCAGGTATATGGAGGGTTTTGGGGGAGACCTCAAGCAAATCACTGCTTTTACACCACCATCTTGACTCTGCCTTTGAAATGAAAAGTACCAAAGAAGGAATAGGCCCATTTCTTGGGATGTTTGGGATGATGACAGTGGTCAACAGAGAGAAGGAAGAACTTACTTATATTATATTTTATCCTGTTTTATCTACCAAATGGAATATTACTTGGATTGAGGACAGAAAAAAAAGATATGTCTAGTAGAAAATGTAAACCCCAGATAAGTAAGTAGATAGTAAAAAAGGGCCTAACTGCCCTTGATGATTTCAAGTCACCAGAGTCTCGATGATCAGCCTTTCAAGGTACTTACAGAACCAGAGGTTAGGACTTCTTGGCTACCATCAATGATATTGGAAAGCTTGTGGAGAAGTCCCACAGGACTGGGGAATGGTAAATGTCTTAATTTTTTAAAGGGATGGGGGTGGGGAAAGTAGACCACAAGCTTGATTCTAATACCTGGGGAAGTTCTAAAACATATTACTAAAGGGATGGTTAGTGAACACATAGAAAAGGATGCAGTAATTACAAGGAGTCAACATGGTAAAAATAATTGACTTAAATTTTGGCAAAGTATTTGACCAAATATTCCATACAAATATTCCCATATCCTTGGGAACATGTCAGAGAGAGATAAGCTAGAGTCTAGACAAGAGTTCATTTTGGAGGATTCAGAAATTGATTGAATGGCCAAAATCCAAACAATAGTTAGTAATGAGTTGGTGTAAATTTCAAAAAAGTCTTCATAGAGTGCCCCAGTTATCTGTACTATCTTATTAACATCTTTTAATGACTTAGTATGATGGCCACAGATGATATGCTTTCTAAATCTGCAGATGACATGAAAATGGAAGAAATAGAAAATACGTAGTAATTGGAATATAATCTGGACCTGTGATTTCATTGGGATAGGGAGCTTCCAGATAAAGAAACTCCCTCCACCAAGGCAGGTCAGCACCCTCTCTGCAACTTATAATCTTAGCTAGAATATGAGAAGTAGTTTATTCAGGGTGCTGTGGGCCAAGACACTGGTAGAACTGGGGAACTGTGTTGGTTTGAGTTACACACACACACACACACACACACACACACACACACACACACACACACACTACCTTCCAGGGCTGTCAGTAGCAAAGAAGTTGTAGAATAGCCGAAGATAGCTCGAGTTGACTTTCACCCTAGGTAGATTGATCTGGGACCCAGCTGTGGGTCTTTTCAGCAAGAAGAATATGAAAATAGAGGGAATTCTTGAGACTCCCTATAATTGCTTTGATCATTGTCCTGCTTTTATCTTCTTGAAAAATGCTTTTTTTTATTCTCTTGGCAATATCTTTCACCCAGGGATACTTGAATTATTACTACTAAAAGGATTATTTGAACTTTCAGACAATGAGGGACCCAGGCATAATACCTAGAATCAGGATCTAGATAGAGGTAGGATCTGAAGCTGCTAGCTCTTCCTAGCTCCAAGGCCAGTTCTCTATCCAATATGCTATACTCCCTTTGGCAAACCTGTCAGATGACAAAATTAGCATCCATAAAGTTCCTATAACACTGAACTGAATGCTTGGTTCAAAAAAATCAGCACCACCAGTATGAAATATGACTATCTAGTAAATGATCTAAAAAAATTTCAAGATTTTAGTAGACTGCAGGCTTGGCATGAGCTGACTATATCAATAGGCAGCCAAAAAAGCCAATGCAATCCTAAGGGGCATTAAGAAGAATATAGTGCCCAGAACTAAGAAGGAGGTAATAGTCCTTCATGGATTCTGCCCTGATCAGACCACATCTGGAATATTGTGTTCAATTCCAGGTGCCACATTTTAGGAAAGGCATTGAAAAGATATAAGGCATCCAAAGAAATATGGTGAAAGGACTTGAGATTGTATCATATGAGGACTGGTTGAAGGAAACAGAGATGCTTAGCTTGGAGAATCATAGGAGCCTAAACTTAGACTAAGAAAGACGTTAGAGATCATTGAGTCTAAGTCCCACCTCCCCATTTTCTTTTTTTTTTAATTTTTATTTGTTTAATTTTTAATTTATGGAATTAAACAAGCATTTCCATAATATGGCATAATTTTTAAAAAGATGATTGCACACGAAACTGTGATATATGTATTATGTTTCAGAGGAGGAAATTGGAGTGCAGAGCGTTGACTTGGCCAAGAGCACACACAGGTGCCCTTCAAATCCTTGAATTGAATGCATCTTCTGGATTTAAGTCTGTTGTCATTCATCCTACTACATCGTGCTGCTTCTTAGAAAAGAAGTCTCATGGCAGACAAGAAGAGTTGCCAATTATGTGAAGTGTTCTCAAGTGGAAGAAGAATTAGATTTGGTCTTTTTGGCCACAGTGGTCAGAATCAGAAGCAATGGACAGGAGTTGTAGGGCGATAGTTTTAGTCTTGATATAAGGAAAAATTTTTCTAATCATTAGAACATTACAAAAATAGAATGGACTAGTCCAGGAGAGAGTGACTTCTCCATTAATGGACATCCTACAGGAAAGTCTTGACAAACACTTATCAGGGATACCAAAGAGGAGATTCTTGGTTAGATGTGAATTAGACCTGGTGACCTACAAACTCCCTTCCTTCTTAGAGTCTGAGATCCAGAGATTTTACCAAGTGCCTTAGCCAAAGTCACATATTGAGTTAATGGCAAAGCTAGAACTAGGACCCAGATTGTCAATCTCCTAATCAAGTGTTTTTTTTTTAATGACCTGTCTACAGTGGTGTGCTGGTAACAACTAGGTCTTCCTGCCCTCCAAAAATGTACGCACAATACACTTTTAAGTTTAATCTTGTATTATTAACACTTTATCCATCACTATCTTAAGCCTACACAATTAAGAAAATAATTAGTCAAGCCCCAATCTGTAGTGTTTCTGATTTCTGAGGTGTAAACACCCATAATGAAGATTTAACAATGGGCTTTCAGGACCCTGTACAAGCTGTCTCCAGCATACTCTTGTCCAGCTGCCTCCCCACCCTCTGCCCGGTCTGCTCACCTGGAGCCTTTGACATTCCATCCTCACTGTTACTAGGCCCTGAACAAAGGAAAACATAGGACCTCTGGTCTAGCACGTAGCATCAAATCACCCTTCCCATTGCTCCTGCTCAGGTCTTCTCCTATTCTAGCAATTCAGTTCCTGCTATGGGTCCTACTATGGTCCATCCCCTAACCTGGTTACTTTGAGTCCTTTTGTTAAATATATATATCATCATATGCCCCTGTTTTGCTGTTCACATTCTTCTCAATCCCTAGAGCCTTAGCATGCACTTAGGCCCATGACTGACAATGCTACCTGCTATAAAAATCACCCCACTCTCCATGCTAATTGCCTGGACCTCTTCCTTCATGGCACAGTGCCAGAATCTTCTGCCATCATGCCTCTCTCCCTGCTACTGTGACCTGCTACAGCAGTTAGTAGCACCAATGCCTACCAGTCTTTCCCCGTGTTCTCTAGCTAAGTTCAGCTGCCAAACTCCCCAGTCTATTGATCCAAATAATTCCTTTCTAGCCTAACTTTATGGGCTTTCCCACTGGCTTTCCCTGTCTCAATAAGTCTAGCCCGTGGGTCCTGCTCTAGTTTCGCCTACAATAACTGAACCTTGACACTGACCCTCTTTATATTACACTTCAGCTTTCTTTCTTTTCACTCTCTTCACCCTTTTCATTTCCCCAAACTTATTTCTCAGGCTTCCAATACCTGACTTAGGCATCACTTTATCCTGCAGGTGGGTTCATCTAGGTCAGAAGTATCAGGTGTCTGACACATGAGGTCACATTCAGCCCATAGCACCCCCAAATGCAGCTAAATCAGATTAAAAGGTAATTGGGAAATATTTTATGAAATAAATAAAAATATAATAAAACAGATATTACATTTTAAAATTAATGGGGCCCTCTGGGAGCCTTATGTATGGATTAGCAACCCCCCCATTTCTATTTGAGTCTGACACCACTGGTCTAGGAGCTCTCTAACCCCTGGTCCATTTGGGGCCAATAGTTCTAGCCTCACAGGATGGAGAAAGACTACGATTTTCATCAGACTGAGAGGCCTCTGGTTTTGGCAAGATATTCTGGTTTCCAAAGGGCAAGAACCATCTGAAGAGAAAGCCAGACTCCACCCACCTGCCCCCCCCTTCCCTTTGTAAATATCTGGGAATCCTCAGTAAGCTCCCAAAGACACAGATAACCACAAAATTGCCCAAAGCCAGCGGATCGTTTCCATATGTCTCTTGCATTTGATCAAGAGGTTTCAGCCTTTTAACATCCTGTGATGGTGGTGGAGGTTTGAGAACCCCAAGGGAGAGGGGGAGGAGTTCTGCACAAGTCTCAGGCTGAGCTGAGTGGAATGCAATTAAATTCCCACCAACACCCAACACACATGGAGGCTTGTAATCTGCCTGCCCCATGGATGCTGAGTTTGAGGAAAGAGTTGGACCAATTTTAAATGTTGCATTTGGACACCATCAGGGAATGCATCAGCAGCAGAAGCCACTGGGGGAAGTGGAGGGTGGAATCAACAGGCTCTTTCATACTATGAAGCTGGACGGCTAGCAGCAAGGATCCTGAGCCCTCACTGAGAAAGGTAAAGGGATGGGAAGGGCTGACCAGAATCAGTCTGTGGGATGCAAGGGGCCCAGTAGCTGATCGAAATCTTGCTCATTTGTTCATTTGAAGCTGGGGCCCAGGGGTTCAGGCCTTGGGTAGATATTGTAGCTTGGTCCAAGGTGGGCCCAGAAAAGAATTGTTCATTCTTTCTAGAGCTGAATTTGACAGTTTGGTCCCCCTCTGTAGCCTAGTTCCACATGCATTTCTTTTGTTGTATCTGGTGTACACAACAGAAGATGGGGAAGTTATTATCCCTCATTTGGGTACAACAGCTGAGGAACACAATTGCCACGGTATTGTTCCCTAATCCCATGTGCCTCCATCTTTGAGGAGACTCATTTCCTCAGATTCCTGGCATCTTGATTCCCAGATCAAGTGTGATTGTGATGCTGTTCCAGGAAAAGGGGTAGGGGTTTTGTTTTAAACAGCTAGGCTGGGATGCACAGCCAGAAATGCACATATCTGGGAAGCTTCTTACCCCACTAGGAATAGGTGCCAATCAAGGGGAAGTTCCTGCAGATAGAGGTATGTAACTGGGACCCAACAGAAAGAAACAGAGCCAGAGATAAGATGTGCCCTCTCTTCTGGCCGCCAGAAATTTCCTTCTCTGCTCAAACAGATGCCATGGCAGTGGGCATGTCATGCCAAGAGAGATAAGAGTTCACTCAAGTCTATGAAGCCAGATCCCAGCATAGGAGTGCAGCAATGTGCATTGGGGTACTTGAAGAGCTGGCTATTTTTCTCCTGTTCTTTCCTTCTTTTCTGGACTGCCTCAGCAGCGAACAGAAACCAAGCAAATACAAAGAGCATCTGAATCACCCATGAATCACCCAACCCTGTTGCAAGGCAGAAAGAGGGAGCCTGGACTCTGGCCCCAGCTACTCTGGCCTGCCTGGCAGCTCTGGAGCGCTAGTGTCTTTGTACCGAGACTGACTCATTTTTGCAAGTGGCTGGTGAAATGGTAGTCTTTGTAGAAAGGCCATCCAGAACACATAAAGGCCCTTCCAAGCCATGACAGAGATATTCCTGGCAAGCAGGGATTGCTTGGGCTGTTAATACATGCTAGGGGGAATTGTAGGAAGAGACACAGAAGCATTCTTTGACTACAGGGCAGGCAGGAGATACAGTGCAAAGCTCTCTTATCATGGGCTGATTCACATGCAAATGGCCATCCTACCAACATGAAGATGGTACTGATAACCTCAGATCAGGAGGATAAAGGCTTCATGTTGGTGATGAAGTAGTAGGAATGGGTTGCCCTAAATGATCAACATTCTTCTCTGGTTGCCCCCATGACCAAAGACACACATTTATGACAGAGTTGAAGAGCATTTGGAGCAGAAGATATACAAGTAGATCCAGGTTAGAGAATAATCTGTGATCACAATAAAATCTTAGAATGAGAAGGATCTTCAGTAGTCATTTGTTGTTTTTGTTCCATTATTTCAGTCATGCGTGATTCTTCGTGACTCCATTTGGGGTTTTCTTGGCAAAGATATTCACATAGTTTGTCATTTCCTTCTCCAGTAGATCTATTTTATCAGACAGTCAGAGGTTAAGTGATTTGCCTAGGGTCACACAGCTAGGAAGTGTCTGAAGCTGGATTTGAAGTCAGGTCTTCCTGACTTCAGGCCCTCCAGTGTTCTATCAACTGAGCCACCAACTGCCTCTTGGTCATTTAGTCTTACCTGTACCTGAACAAGAATGGATCCCGTCTACAACATTCCTAGTAAACTGTCATTCATCCACTTGCTTGAAGACCTCCAGGATGAGAAACTTATTACCTCCTAAGACAGCCCATTTCACTTCTTTCAGATAGCTCTGTTTGGAAGCAGCATAGTGTAGTTAAAAAGAAAAAAAAGTGTGTGTGTGTGTGTGTGTGTGTGTGTGTGTGTGTGTGTGTGTGTATGTGTGTGTGTGTGTGTGTGTGTGTGTGTGTGTGTGTGAGAGAGAGAGAGAGAGAGAGAGAGAACTTTATATCAGACGACCTGGGTTCAAGTGTCAACTCTGTCATTGACTTGCTCTCTGATGTTAGGCAAATTATTTCACCTTTCAGACCTTAATTTCCTTGTCAATAACTGGAAGAAGTTGGATTAGCTGATTTCTGATTTCTTCAAACTCTGACATTCTGTGATTCTCCTAACATAGCCTAAGATTTTCTGGCTGCCATTATCAAACTGTTGACTCATAATGAGTTTACAGTAAGACCAACCCCTAGATCTTTTTGTTATCTTGCCATTTCTTCCACATCCTGTACTTACACAGCTAATTTTTGAGCCCAAGTATAGAACTTTACATTTATCACTATTGAATTCTATCTTTTTAGATCTATACCATCACTCTAGCCTAGTAAGAACTTTTAAAATGTGAATTATATCATCTAGTATATTAGCTGTCTTACATAGATTTGCATCATCTTCACATTTGACAAGCATGAAATCTATGTCTTCATCCATGTCACTGACATTGAACAGAACAGGGTTAAGGACAGATCCCTTAGGCAACCCCACTAAAGACTGCCTTCCAGGTTGATGTTGTTCTGTGGCTAACCAATCCTGAACCTACCTCATTCTTCTATCATTCACCTCAAATCTTTCTACCTTGTTTACAAAAATAAGGACCATTGTCAAATACCCTGTTGTTATGAGGAAGTGACACAGATGCTCCCTTCACGTGATTCTGGTTTCCCACCCAATCTCTCACTTACCTTTGTAGCTCACTACAACTCCCAGGTGGAGGAGCCAGAGACAAGCAGGGTCCACCCACTCTCTCCTTTCACAGGTAGAGCCAGACCAGGGTTTTACTGGAAGATGAAAGGAAGCCTGTCCAATACTATTTTCTGATTGGGTGTTAAAGCATTAAAAGTTCTAGGGGGGAACCACTATCAAACATACACCATTTAGAGGGTGGAGGGGATTTCACGACCAAAGATTAGATACCATCTGAGTAAAATCTTTCTCCACCATGGTGGGGCTTTAGATAGAATGTGTTGTTAAAGTCATCTTGCAAAGATGTGGGTGGAGGCAATATTATGAGTGCTATGCCCAAAGTAATTTATGCACCCCATACGCTTTCAAAGTTTATGACACTTAAGCTACCGAAGTCCTTGTAGGCAGAAGCAAGGCTCTTTCTGATGGCTTCTCCCCTGCCCCGAGGAGCCTCAGACTGAGCTGTAGCCCAGGTGAAGGCAGAGGTTTCTGTATGGACCACCTGTATTTAGCCTCCAGCTTTGAGCATTTAATCCTTCCCATTATGGAGCAAAAGAGCTCTCAGGATTTCCAAGATCTGGTTGATTAAGAAAACTTTTTTTTTCCTTCCCTCAATTACAGGAGCCTAGTCTGGTCATTTAATAGTGACAGGAATGTTCTGGACATCAAGGACTGTGACAATCCCATAGTCCTTTACCCTATTCTGGGCACATTTAGAGTCCCATTCTGGGCACCACAATTTAGAAAGATAATAAAATCATAGATAAAGAAATGGAAAGAGACTCAGAGGCCATCTATCCTAGCAATCAATCAGTTATTCAGTAAGTAGCTATTATTAAGAACCTACTAAGTGCCAGGCTTTCTACAAGTACAAAAAATAAAACAATCCCCACTTCACAAGTACTTTGTGTTTTAACTAGGGAGAAAAGTACATATGTAGGTATATACAGCAGAAATATCAAGTGAATAAATATATAGAAACATGTTATCTATTTTGTAGCATATGACATATCATATATCCACATGTAATATATGTAATATATTTGAACATATTTCATATGTGTGTATGTGTGGAGGTTGAATGACTTGTCCAAAACCCTATAGGCATTGTCGGAAGGAGGATTGGAACCCAGGTTATTTCACTGTTCAATTGATACTCTTTTCCCTGGATTGAGGTGTAAAACAAACTGTAGTACAGCCAGCAGAAGGTTAGCAGGATGGTGAGGGAACTGGAAATCATGGTGTTTAAGGACTAGTTGAAGGAATTGGTGATATTTACAGAAGAAGTACAGGTCTCCTTTACCCAGTCATTGGAGAGAAATAGCCAAGGGGCAAGGGGAGAGAATTAGGAGTTGGGGCCGGATAACAATGTTGAAATCTCTAATGTACTGTTCTGAGGAAGAGGGAAATAGACCTCTATTTATTGTTGTCCACAGGAGGAAACCAGGAGCAACAATGGAAGTTGTTTTGTTGTTGAGTTGTATCCAATTTTTTGTGACTCCATGTGGGGTTTCCTTGGCAGAGATACTGGAGTGGTTTGCCATTTCCTTCTCCAGCTGATTTTACAGATGAGGAAACTGAAGCCAACAGGGTTAAGTGACTTGGCCAGGGTCACACAGCTGGTAAGTGTCTGTGGCCACATTTGAACTCAGGAAGGTGAGTCTTCCTAACTCCAGGCCCAGCACTCCATCGCCTGCACCAACCAGCTGCCCAAAATGTAAGTTACAGAGTAGCAAATTTCCATTCACTGTAAGAGCTCCTGAAATGGAGAGCTGTCCAAAAGCAGTCTGAGTGCCCAAAGTAGGGAGGGTGTTCAGACCCATCACTGAAAGTCTTGGAGGTGGGACTGGATGACCACTGGTCATGTGATGTTGCAGAAAAGACTACCTGCTGAGGTGCTGCTTGGACTGGATGGCTTTAGAGGTCTCATTACCGGGATTCTATGAATCTATGACTCAGGTCATTACACAAGTGCTTTATCTCTGCCTAGCCAGGCAGAACTGCTCTGAGCTCCATCCTGGAGTCTGTTCCTCCACAGTGGTGCCATGCTGCAGAGCATGGCAAACACCCTCTGTGTCTCTGGGCAGAATGAAGGATTACTTCCTGACCTTCCTCACTGGCCCGGTCCCTAGAGGCATTCTGGAGCACAGCTCCACAGGCAAACAAACTTCCCAGCCACACCCTGGTCAAGCAGACTGGCTTCAGGCAGCATGTGATGAAGGATAATAACACACTGCTACAGGCTCTTTAAATCTAGCCAAGCATTTGT